CTGGGTTCGATTCCTCAGCACCACATAAGCAAAAAGAAAAAAGCCGGAATTGGCGCTGTGGCTCAAGTGGTAGAGCGCTAGCCTTGAGCTGAAGATCTGAGGGACAGCACCCAGGCCCAGAGTTCAAGCCCCACGACCGGACCCCCCCCCCAAAAAAACCACAAATTTACCTCCAAAAGCACTCCATAGTTTTCCTAACTAAAGTGTGGGGGGGCGGAGTCTCTTCTTTCCTCCAATTTTTAACTTTTTTTTTCTTTTTTGATGTTGTTTGTAGAATTTTTCAAAGAACTCCTTGAAAATGCAGAGAAATCTCTGAATGATATGTTTGTGAAGACCTATGGCCACTTATACACGCAGAATGCAGAGCTCTTTAAAGATCTGTTCGTGGAGTTGAAGCGTTACTACGTGGCGGGGAACGTGAACCTGGAGGAAATGCTCAATGACTTCTGGGCTCGCCTTCTGGAGCGCATGTTCCGCCTGGTGAATTCTCAATACCACTTCACCGATGAGTATCTGGAATGTGTGAGCAAGTACACGGAGCAGCTGAAGCCCTTTGGGGATGTCCCCCGGAAATTAAAGCTTCAGGTCACTCGTGCTTTCGTAGCAGCCCGTACTTTTGCTCAAGGCTTAGCTGTGGCGAGAGATGTCGTGGGCAAAGTCTCCGTGGTAAGTGCTGTTGGCATTTTCTGGCTTTGGTTCGGTTTGCTTTGGGATTGCTGTAAGAGAAAGTTTGTGAAAGATTTAAAAAAAAAAATCAGCCGGGGATTGGGGGAAGGGGGGGGGCAGAGAGGCAGGTGGCTCACACCTGTAATCCTAGCTGATCTAGAGGCTGGGTTTTGAGGATTGTGGTTGGAGGCTAATGCAGGAAGGAAAGTCCATCAGAGTCTTCAGTGAACCACCAGAAAACTGGAAGTGGTGCTGTGGCTCCAAGTGGCAAAGCACTAGCCTTCACTTCTTGGGCCCTGAGTTCAAGCCCCATGAATGCCTCCTCTCACCAGCGGGTGGGGGGTGGTGGCGGCTCCCCCCCCCAAAAAAAAAAGATCACTAGAATTTCATTGATTGAATACTATCTCTCTCTGCTTTCTCACATTTTGTCCTTGTGTATATACCTTTTTATAGTTAAGAGCACAATGGTGAATGGCTTTGTAACATTGTTATTCTTTTCTCTACATTCCTTCCTGGCCATTCTTAGAAGTAAGATGGATGTTCACTTTGGACTCTTTATTCCATTTATTATTGTTGTTATATTGTTGTTATTAGTGTATGTATGTACTGGTCCTGGGGCTTGAACTTGGAGTCTGGGCATGATCCCTGAGCTTTTTTGCTCAAGGCTAACAGTGCTCTACCATTTGAGCCACTCCACTTCTAGCTTTTTGGTAGTTAATTAGTGGCAAGTGTCTCATGGACATGTCTGTCCAGGCTGGCTTTGAACTATTATCCTCAAATCTCAGCTCCCTGAGTAACTAGGATAACAGGCCTGAGCCACTGGTGCCAGATTCTGGAGTCTTAATTTTAAATCTTTAATTAAGCTTCAATTGCATCTTTAATTTTAAAATCTTAGTTCTCAAATTTCTCCATCTCCTTTTTGCTTTTATTCTACTTCTGTTCTGGCAAAACAAAGACACTGCCTCCACATGTAGTTATTGCTAGCGCCTATGTTTCTGCCTACTGGGTCAAGTCTAGAAACTGCCTAATACCCAGAAGCATATGTTTCCTTATTGTACTAGGTACTTGGAACATGTGATGACGAGCAATTTCCATGATAATGTACACCATCTTGCTCTTGACTCTGTTTATAGGATTACTGACACAGAAAATACTATAATATGTGAACAGGAGCTGCTAAAATATACCTGTTAACTTACTTACAAATGAAGCAAATTGGGCTAGATCCATGCTTTGCAGATACTGTTCCTTGGAGGCAGAAGGGGGGCCTTTATCTCTTGGGTACACTTAGCAAAGCTTTGATCTCCCTGGTTTCCTACAATAAGATTTTGTGCAAGATTTCAAAGTGGAAGGGTTCTATTCCCCCTCAGTTAACTTTGACAGCTGGTTGTTGTTGTTGTTGTTGAGTCTAGAACCCAGGACTTTGCCAGTGCTAGGCAAGCTATCTACCACTGAAGTGCCTCAAAAACTTTCCAGGCCCTTTCACTACTCCCCTTCCATGACTCAATATACTGGGGCTTTAGCTTTGCAACACTGAGTTTAGTGGTATTACTTTTAGGCCTTCAGAGAAAAAAAAAAGCCAAATTGCCATGTGCCAATGGCTCACACCTATAATCCTAGCTACTTAGGAGTCTAAGATAGGAGGTTCACAGTTCACAGCCAGCTAGCACAGGAACATCTGTGAGACTCCAGTGAACCACCAGAAAACCAGAAGTGGCGCTGTGGCTCATAGTGGTAGAGTACTAGCCTTGAGCAAAATTGCCCAGGGGGATAGTACTCAGGTTCAAGCCCCACCACCGACAAAAAAAAACATAAGCCAAATTGTAGGCCATTGCTAAAGAGCATAGATATACAAGGAACAGTGGCTTCTGCTGGGGCATTTGGTTGTTTTCAGGACTAGTTACAAGGTCTATACAAACCACAGGACTAACACTAAAATAGTCAGTCATCTGATTGCTTACCAGAAGGTCATCTCCAGTTAGAAGGATCATTTAACTTATTATCCAAACCGCAACACTTACTGTCTAACCAATGAGGTGCTTATTAACAATTCAAGCCAGACAACAGGTGCCAGTAATTGTTAATAAGTACTCAGGACTGCCCAGTGGTTTGGAAGGAAACATATTTACCAGAATGAAGAAAAAAAGGAAGTGGCACTGTGGCTCAAATGATAGAGTGCTAGCCTTGAGCTGAAGAGCTGAGGGACAGCGCCCAGGCCCTGAGTTCAAGCCCCATGACCGGCAGAAAAAAGAAAAAAGAAATTCTACAGAACAGATGTGTTGGGGGGGGGATGGTTAGGGATGGGAAGGATAAACAAAGGAGGAGGCTACAATGCTTGATAAGCAATGTACTCATTATCTTGCCCATGTAATTGTAACCCCTCTGTACAGTATATTCACAATAAAAAATACATAAAAATTAAAAAAAGAACAGATGTGTTTAGAAAAAATCATGATTCATGATTTTCATATTAGAATTTAGTGATAAGAAGGATTAATTGGTTGTATTTATTATTGCCATGTTACTGGTTTTCTCTGTCATCTTCAAGCTATAAAATGTCAGACAAGCCAGGTGCCAGTGGCTCATGCCTGTAATCCAAGCTACTCAGGAGGCTGAGATCTGAGGATCGCAGCTCAAAGCCAGCGCAGGCAGGAAACTCGGTGAGAGTCTTATCTCCAACAAACCACTAGAAAATTGGAAGTGGCATTGTGTCTTAAGTGGTAGAGCACTCACCTTGAGCTGAAGAGCTCAGGCCCAGAGTTCAAGCCCCACAACCGACAAAAAAAAAGGTCAGACAATAATTCTTTCCAAGTATATTTTTGTTCATTTTTCCCCTTTTCCGATACTTTTCTCTACGAATAATTGGAGTGTATGAAGCTAGTATAAGGAGATCCTTGCTCTTCAATGCCAAGTTCAGCCACAATCATTAATCTTGGAAATACTGATATCAAAGTCCCTAAAAGAGTACACAGTTAGGGCTGGGAATGTGGCTTAGTAGTAGAGTGCTTGCCTAGCATGCATGAGGCCCTGGGTTCGATTCCTCACTACCACATAAACAAAAAGTAAATGCAATTATTTTTTAAAAGAGTACATAGTTAATCTACATTGCAAATAACAAGTATTGCAATTCACCTAGCGCATTTGACTTGTACCAATTCCTTTCAAGAGTCCTCAATTGAGTAGACCAAAGGGTGGCACTACTGCTTTGGATACCGAAGCAGTTGTAATTTTTGTTGATATTAGGAATTGAACTAAGGGTCCTGCTTGCTCAGCAAGGAGCTACACCTGCAGTCTGCCAGTCCCTTTTTATGTTGTTCATTTTCAAGGTAAGATCTTGCTTTATGCTCCAGCTAACTTGGACTGTGATCCTCCTATTTGTGCTTCTCTTTCTTTTCTTTTTTTTTTTTTTTGGTAGGTAGTCGGGCTTGAACTCAGGGCCTGGGCACTGTCTCTGAGCTTTTCTGCTCAAGACTACCTCTACCACTTTGAGTCACAGCACCACTTCTGGTTTTCTGGTGGTTCATTGGAGAGAAGAGTCTCATAGACTTTCCTGTGAGGCTGTCTCTGAATCACCATCCTCATGTGTCAGCCTCCTGAGTAGCTAGGATTACAGGCATGAGGCTAGGTTCATGCCACTATATCCAGACATTGATTGAAGTAGAGTCTTTTAAACATTTATGCTTCAGCTGGCCTTGAGTTGCAATCTCCCCATAGTCTGCCTCCCAAATAGCTGAGATTACAGGCTTGAGCCACCACACTTGGCAATTTTCCCCCACCTATGTGTGAATGCTTATTCCTGATAAGCCTCTATCCCAGTGCAGTTTAAAGTGTACTTTAAAAAGCAATCCAAAAAAATGAACATACTGTGTCTTGGCTCCTAATTCAATTAGTTGCTTTTAGCCTAAAGGGGAGAGGGGGCATTCAGAGCAGGGACTTGTTCCAGGGTTATTGATTGAATAGTTAACTCAGAGATGTTTCTCTTCATGAGTGGACAGCCTGCTTTTCCAGTTTACTTTTGCAACAGAAGGGTTGCAGTTACAAATTGAGCAATGATTGGATCACTGTTAAGCCTTTGAAAAATCCATTAGCAGCAAGCAGCAAACTTGCCGTCCTTCAAGAGACAGGCACTGTTTAGTTGAAATAACATTGCCTTGTTTTAGTCTCTGTGGGCCGATACAGCCAATGATTTCAGCTTACTCCATTGAGCTTTACCGTTGAAACTTCAGAAAAGTCCCCCTAATTAGTAGCAGATGGTTCAAGAATACTGTGGTGTCAAAAGCCTTTGTATTACTTCTTGTCATGGTCCCTGATAGCCGTCTTATTTACCTGCTTGGCAGTAACCATTTTGCCCGGAAGGGTGAAGTTTGTTGAGGTCTTTGAGAAATGCACAAGTGATTACATGCACCATGAACATTAATAGCTCCTATGCCAAAGAGTTGCATTCTATGATTTCAATTAATACTGACATAATGGGACTATGTACACACACACACACACACACACACACACACACACACACACACACACACACACACACACACACTACAGAGGCTATAATTAGAAGTGGATGCCTTACCACTGAGGTGTCTAAATGACTGTTCTGCCATGAAAACAATTCCCACTGAATTCCCTCACTTCTCTATTCATAAGGCCGGGACAGAGGAGAACTAAAGAAATTACTTTGGAGCCAGATGCTAGTGGCTCACGCCTATAATCCTAACTACTCAGGAGGCTGAGCTCTAAGGATCACAATTCAAAGCCAGCCCAGGCAGTAAAGTCTGTAAGATTCTTATCTCCCATTAATCACTAGAAAACCAGAAGTGGCACTGTGGCTTAAAGTGATAGAGTGCTAGCCTTGAGCCGAAGAGCTCAGAGACAGTGCCCAGGCCCTGAGTTCAAGCTCCACTACTGACAAAAAAAAAAAAAGTTACTTAGCCATTTCCCCAAATTGCTCTAAGTATACATTTAAAAAGTGTGTATTCCAAAAAGCTTTTAAGAAA